AAATATATAGACTGGTACAATGTATATGTTACTGGTACATTGCCAAAGTATACAATTAAGTCTGAAACTTTGTCCCTGGGTATCCAAGCTACACTTACGAGTACTGAGTGCAGAATTAACTTGGTGTCAATACATGGCTGGCAGTAAAGCAATCGTAGTAGTTTCTCTGATCCAATAAAAAAAGAAAAGGTCTTGCTCTTGAGACAGGGCTTGTCTCCCAAACCTTACATATATATGACATATAACATACTAAATTTAAAAAATAGCTGTTTGGCTACCAACCCAATTCTCAAAAGGGTACAGGGTTAGGCAGCAGGGAGATGGTTAAAATGGCTACTATCATGCCATACTATAATACTGTCTGACACTGCCCTGCCCAAATGTTGAACTTGACTTCTCTGTTTGCCTCTTGGCATTTAATGATTTTGTAATCAAGCCAACTGGGTCTCCATACTTTTCTATTGACCTCTGAACCCGTGACCCCGCTGTCTCACCGTGGTGGAATTCTGGGCGTTGGGCCAAGCAGCCGAGAGGGAACAAAGGGTGTGGATGGGTGGCATGCCTACGGGGTAAAAACCTCACGATCAAGTCCCATATCGCTTGTAAATAAGGCCACAGCAAGTAAATTTCATGGATGACATCCTCCGCAGCCTCCAAATCTAATGCGAGCGGACTATAAAAAAGGCGGGCCAAAAAACAAGGTTCCTAACTTCCTACATTCTAAAATGTTGACTCAATCGTTGTACAAATGGTTTTGATTCAGTGGGAACATCACAGCCAACATCACATATCACTGCAAATTCAAAGTAAGAAACAAAACATTGAGCCTTTTCTCCTCTTTGCCCATTTTCGGCATGGTGACCACAGTCAGAAGACAACATTTCTTGTTTGTTTTTTCCAAAATCAGGCAAAAATTAATGCGTGCGCTGATGTCATCCATGAAAATTACTTGCTATGGCCTAAACGCTGATGCAATACACCTTACAATGTTATCAGTCTAGTCAAACGTATACTGTGGCATTAATGGTTAGAGAGCTTTTGGCCCAGAATCAAGGGGTTCTGGGTTCAAAGCCCTCATAATAGTCATACGCTCCAATGTTGTGTTATAATTTCTTTACACAGATTTCCGCACTTCACTCAAGTGGTAGTAAGTCCCTAGCTTTGACCTAAGGAATGTCTCTCATAATAATAGGATGCTAAATTGAGGTACCATGTTTGTGGAGAATGTCACTCAAGCATGTCAAGTTCAATGAAAGGTTCTACCCCAGAAATCTAGAGTAAGGCAGGGCTGTAGCCCTATAAAGTCTAAATAAAGTAATTTTTATGAATAGAAGCAAAATTCCCTCCATTTGAAAATAGACAAGGTGGTGCTAGCATTGTGACAAGGCAGTACTACCACACTGCTCCAAAATCAAATTAATTTTAGTAGGGAGAGCCATACATTGCTTGTTTCTTTGCTTTTGTATACATTAGTATAGCACGCTTCTAAGTCTTACTATCTGTTGCAACATATTGTGACCATTTCTCTCACGCAACGATTTGCTAATTTACGGTAAGACATTGACAACACGCTATCATGTGATGGTCTTGTGTCCTCTTTATTATGACGTAGAAGTCAAATTTCCGTTAACGACCAAGAGCGTTTACAATTATCCTCCACCCAAGGGTTTGGATGAACTGTTTGGCAACCATGCCAACAGTATTGAGCATTGTGTATATACACTTCAAGTATGCTATGGACTGTTCCATTCAGCTGACGGGGAAAGGCTGTCTCTGCCCAAAATTCTTTTCATCACATTGCAATTCCTTTTCTCTTTAACTACTACAAATCAACATCAAAACTTAGTCATCTATAAGATGTTTCTCAGAAAAAATTAGTAGATAATAATTATTTTCATTCTAGTACTTACTGACTTACTTAGGCTCGATTACTAGGAAAATATGAATACTCAGTGAGTATCCATATTTACCTAGTAATGGAGCCTAAGTATACTCGAGTACCCTTTCTTTTTAGTATCAAAAAACATAAAAATTACTGGTATGTCTTGGGGTAGAGGACTGTCAGCAAAAAAATTTCTAGACAGAAAACTATAAGATTTTCCACCCCAACATCTGCTTGGAAATGAATAGGTCCCTAAGTAATAATATATGGTCTGTTAGCACAATCCCAGACTCATATATTATACATGGATGGCTTTATTGATAAATATTTAATGATTCCATAGATGGGAACTACGTGTGTAAACACACGCCTTTCCCTTTCCCACAAATCACTTTCAGTTTCTCCTGTGCATTTCTTGTCAAATCAGAGAAATGATGTGACCAAATGTATAGACTGTATGTATATGTGAAACATATACATCTACACTATACATTTAATATCAATTATAACTATCAGATAGTATCTACAAATGACTGATAATGAATCCCATTTTGACATGCTATAAAAGTATATTTGATAAAATTGGTAGATGCAGAACATGGACATATCCCAGTTATGTTAAACCCCTTCCCCTCACATATTTGCACTGATAGGTGCATCACATATAACCCCCCAGTGACTCAACAAACAAGTCTTGCACAGCTAAATGGTTCACAGGCAAACAGTGTGTTTAGATGCCCTGAATTACCCAGGCTTAGGAAAACATAATTGCAACAGGCCAGTATGGTACAGAATTTCCTTCGATACACTACTCTATTTAAATTTTAATAGCTAGAGTAGATCTTAAAATATTCTTGATTTTTTTTTCCTTTTCTTTTTACCATGAATTCACACCCTAATAATGCATTTCCAATGTATAACTACTGAATTACAAAATAATTTTAATCACAAACTTAAAACACCTTTAAAACCTGCAAAATTAATGAATTTACAGTACATAGATCTCTCAAGTACAATTTCCTTAGACTTAATTATACCTTTTGACTGTTGCAAATGTTCAAATAACCTATATGTTAAAATGGTAAAAGATTAAGAGGACTGTATTCTGTAAAATTGCACTGTATGCTAATACAATTGTACTGTACTCTGTAAAATTGCACTGTATACTCTGGCACCCCTGAATAAAGCATTTCCAGCCCTGCTCATTGCTCATACAGTAGGTACCTAGTTAGTAGAGATGAGTGGGTGGGGAGGATTTAATCTGTTGTCTAAACAAAACAGGAACAGAGGCACTTATTGATGTGTACAGGACATAGTGTTGTGTTATTTGCATTTCCAAGCTAGGGCCTGAAAATGTGTACCTATACTGACTGTTGGATAAAACTGAGTGTGAGATGTCATAATTCTGAAAACTGTTTGTCTGTTAATTTCTTGAAGCTGGCTCTCACTTACTCAACCTCACCTGCTCTGGCAGGGAGCGTGGCGCCTTGCCAACTTGTCGTCAGTTACTCAGTAATAAGTAAAATCTAAATTACTGATGACAAGAAGAGAAAATGTCTAAGGCCTAGGAAAAAATGTTGAGTTTCCTGTTTCACGACCGACCCTAGAATTTAGAAAAAACTGCCGACCCTAGCCTTTTTTTTGTGTGGACCCCTGCAAGGTACATAGATGTTTCAAGCTGATCAATCTTTTCTAGTTCCATGATCTGACAACATGACCTGAGTGATGAAATGTTGTACAATTGGTTTTCCAACATTGACATTGAAAATATGAGTGTCCTCATGCAAGCTTCACTTTGTTAAACAAGTTGGATCGCTAAAGATTGCCAAACTACAATTTTTTTCAATTACAGATAATCCCTACCTACTAAACCTAATCATTTTTAGGCCTAACTAAGATTCAACCTGAACAATCCTTAGTAAACTATTCTTGTGAACTTGATAATGTTGAGGCTTGATCTAGGAATACAGAGGGAGTATCCAGGGTACATAATTTGTTTACTTTATCTGATACTTTAGATATGGTCCACTTTAGGTGGAATTCCCTACTGACTCTGGGATTACCTTACAAGAAATGGTGGTTGTAGATAACGTCAGAAGAGTTTATAAAATCATACCATGTTACATACAGAATAATAAGTACTGTGATTTAATTATAGAATTAACCCATTGACTATTTTAGTATTTACTTACTAAGGAAGTTAAATTTTCCATACTGATAGTGATAGTATTGGTGCAGCTGCATTGGTAATGCATTAAACAGATGTAGAGAGAATGAGCCTTGTCTAATACTAAATGTAGCTCCAAGCACTGAAGATTACGGATGCATCTATCTTCACTGATATCCTAATCAATCTGGACCTGTCAACATACTAGCTTTAATGTCCATAAGGACAGTTTGGGGAGTCTATGTATGTTTTTGGTTAGATTGTTATAGTCGTAGCGTTACCCCAATTTTAAAACAGTTTAGTTCCTGTAAGAATAGTAATAATTATGACTTCCTTTATCCTGTATGGCAATGTGTACAACTTTTTACAAGGACATATTGGTGAAGCTGTAACAGTTCTTTCGAATAACTCTGTAGATCTAAAAATGAGAATTGTTACAGTTTTGCTTGGCTACAACGAAAATTAGGAAGAAGGGTCTTGAGCACAAAACAACAAGAAGAGTTTTTGACACTATTCTGAATAAGAATATCTATTTGTATACATAGGGATATACGTGTATGTTGTTTTAAACAGTTAATCAAATATGTGTACTAGTAGATGGTTGACATTTTGTTTGGGCTACATATGGGGCTAGCTGGAGGGGTGTAGGTCATCTCCATCAGACTCCTTTGCAGGCTGAATAAATTGTAGAAATCGTCCCAAAAATTGGGCCAGAGGAGTTCGCTGGCCAGAGAAAGAGAGTCAGTGCAGGCAAATGGACCCTCTCTGGCCGACCAACTCCTCTAGCTGGCCAATTAAATCCCTTTTAAGGACAATTTCTACAATTTATTCAGCCTGAAAAGGCGTCTGGTGGAGACTAGGGTGTAGAAGTCCTGGGCAATTTGTCCACAGAGCTAGGAAAGGCCTTGCAGTCGTGGGAAAATAGATCTCATGACAGTCATCCGTACTAACCTCTCTCCTGGTTTGGTAGTGGGGTGGGCTAGGATGGTCTGGTTACCTTCCATATCAACAACGCACTTAGTCGCCAGCCCCAACTCTGTAAAACGACGACAAAAGACGAACTTTTAGATACAAAATGTTACATTTCATGACACATTTCTAACTTGTCTGTATGTGTCCTCTTGTGACCTTTGACCTCAAAAAGGACATTATACAAGATTTGAGTCAAAACTCCACAAAACAAATTTACAACGACATTTTATCAATACCAAACTCGTTATTTGTACCTAGACCTCGAAAAATCGTAAGTTCTGAGGGGGAAAAACAACTTAAATTGTTATAAACTAATTATGCCTTACTAGTTGGTCTACTATGCTATGGTTACATGCATGGTGTAACAATTTCACCTTATTTACGATCTTACACAAAATAAACAAGTGTGAACAAGTTGTTTTTTGCTGTCAAAGAGCGTCTTTTGGTCGTGACCGTAACTTGGAGATCAAAGGAATACTTGAATGTAGTTTTCAGGGTGAGTTGCTGGCACAGACCGTCCGTGTCAGCGACAGGTCCGCACAGACAACGTCAACAAACGACCTAAAACCTATTTCTGCCGCATTTCTGAGGAAAAAGTCTTCACAAAGACTGAAAATTTTGTTGAGAGGAAGTCGGGGAAGTGGTGAGGTGAAGTTGAGAGAAACAGGCACATGTTGCGTGTGGAAAACAAAGGCCGATATACCGAGTCCATACCTCGTCTGTTCATGGGCCGAACCCGGACAGCAACTTTCACGTTACTAGTCGGCTCGCCCATCTTTCCTCCCGGCTTTCTACAGCGAAGTTCCTCAAAATAACTCCCGAACCAGCTCTGCTACGAGTATTCCGTACTTCCTGGTGAAGAATCAGTTCCGATCGGAAAGGGGGAAACACAGAAGTCACCAGAAAAACTAAGTCAACACGACAGGCAAACGATGTACAGTCGAACATCGGGCGCCATTTTGGCCTACACTCAAGACCCCCAACGTTGTCAGTCAACAATACTTCTGAATGTTTTTCCTTGATATCCATTACAAACATTACGCAAATGATCTTTTGTAGAGCAGTAATAATATAAAAAGATGCTATTTGAGGTTTTTATAGATGTTATCACCTTGATATTAAGTTGTTTATGTGGATAATATTTTCGCGTATGGGGTCTTGGAAAAGTATCCGGATCAGAACGCCGCCTTCCGGTTCACGACAGTTAGCACGTGGCGACGCCTCAGGCCAAACAACGCCACATTCGGACACTTTTTACACCTTCATCTAAAACAATTATAGCCACGTCACGTCAATTCCTCTAGTCTGCGAGGTTTGGGTACGATTTTGATCTGTAACGCTCTCGCTAGATTGACACACCACAGGAAATGTCGGGGCTTCTACCATATGGTAGTGCAATCACCATTTCCTTGGAGTAAAAGGCGACATTGCTGTGACCAAGGACATTATACACAGATGTGTATAATGTCCTTGCTGTGACTAAAAGGTGGCAAGGTTATGTCAAACAACTAGAGCTACCTCGGAAGAACAAACAAAACAGTGCTTCCTTTTGTTCCGGGAAAAAAGGGGGAGTTCCGTTTCAAAGCTAAATCTACTCTCCAAGCAGAGGTTTGGGTTTTGGGGGTATTTTTAGCGTGTTTTTAGGCTTTTTTATCGGGGTTTCTCTTTTGCACTGACTTTTTGTT